GGTTTCCCGTCCAACTCCAATGTATCTTCCAAATTTTGCGCATTTAGCGCATCCATGACTTCACATCTCCAAAGTCCAAAATTATTTGTGCCGTTGAACTTTTCCACATCTATTTTCATAGAATGAAAACTCAAAGTTTGGATGGCCTTCACACTAGAAGAACCCTCCCCTTGTTTATCCTTTCCGGCCATTTATCTCAAAGCACCCAATACAATTGCGGAACTATAAGAAATAGATCCAATTTAAAAAAGATAGAAACTTTACCACAAAGATCCCACCTTTATCACCAATCGAAGCTCCCGATGAACTTCCCAACTGATCTATACCTCCAAAAAAGCCCAAGCGTTGCCCGGAGCTCTGATACCACTTGTTGTGCCTCGAGAATCCAAACCCAAACGCCGAGAAAAGGATAAACCAACAACCAAACAAGCACAAACAATCACAAACACCAGTTTTACGTGGTTCGGCGAGATGCCTACGTCCACGGGGGAAGGAAGGGGGAGTTTTCACTATTAGAAACAAGAGGATACAACTAGGGTTACAAATCTCACACCAAAACCCTCAACAAATCAACTCTTGATCTCACCAATACTTCTAGAATAGAAGCCCAAAGAAAACCCCTCTCTATCAGCTCAAAATCCCTCTCACAAACCCTAGAAAATACCCATTGGGTATTTATACTAAAGCCAAACGAAACGGGTCTGGAAAACAGACCCAGACCGAAATCCGCATCGCGGTCGACCGCAGCTCCATGTGCGGTCGACCGCGAAAAGTCCAGAGGCTCACCATCGGCTCTGGACAAATGCCGGTCGACCGCCGCTCCATGTCCGGTCGACCGCCCAACTTCCAGAGCCCAGAAAACATCTGCGTGCACATTGCGGTCGACCGCAGCTCCACCGCCGGTCGACCGCCAGACGCCCAAATGCACTCCTTCGACTTTTCGCCGATACGTCGCCTCGAATCTACAGATTAGTGGTCCACACCGGCCAAAAGGTGAAGACAAGGGTTAACTAAAAGCTAGAAGTGTTAGCTGCCGAGGTAAGCAGTAAGCTTTACAACTGTTTTTGAAAGAGAAATTAATTCTGGAATCGAAATCATGGGACCACAAAAGGATAATGTGCTCCTATTATATTTATTTATCATTGGTTGAAATCTCACAAAAATAAAATCTCAGAAAAATGGCGTGCGTCATCTAATCTCATAACTGGTCCTATTAACAAAGCAAAACGTTATATTTTTTTTTAATATTAGATGCTAAACAATCAGGATTCATCGACTTTCAATTTTAGAACCACTAGTTTATTGTTAGTGTCACAAATTGTGCTACTAGTACGTACTATAAAATTAACCTAAGACAATAGGGATCATTCCGAAACTTCTCAACTGCCTGATCACCCGTGATTGGCATTAGAATTAAACACTATTTTATCTATATCTATTTAGATTTTTCGTTTTTATTTTATATTGGAAGGGCAGCTGAAATTTATGTCCAATTCAAAGCTTATCATACTTGATACTCCCGTGGTTTGCCTTCATTCGCACTTTTCGTTTAAAAGGAATCAAAACTGCTTAAATATCAAAAAGATAGTTATAACTAGAAAAATAGATTCTCTTATGCATTCATATAGCATTTAACATAGACTTGGTTTATTTATTTTTGCCACCTTGGTATCTCCTCTATTTTTTTGTTATTTTTTTTTCTAAGATCACCTTAGATTCAGACGTTGTACTTACTCAAGGCCCAAAAAAACTGTCCAGCTGCAATGGGGTCTGGGTTCATCGCCAAGGGCCTAACAATCATCAACAACTCCGGCTCACAAGCGCAGCAGGCCGTAGCCCTCCGTGTTGGCGCCGATCTATCCGTAATCTACCAATGCTCCATCGAAGGCTACCAAGACACGCTCTACGCCCATTCCAACCGTCAATTCTATCGCGATAACGACATCTACGGTACGGTCGACTTCATATTCGGTAACGCAGCTGCGGTCCTACAGAAGTGCTTCATCCACCCCATGAAGCGCAGTGACGCCCAGCACATCACAATAACGGCCCAAGGCCGACGAGACCCACACCAAAACACTGGGCTATCATTCCACCAATGTAGTATAGTGGCCTCTTCTAACGTGTGCCGTGGGCAAACTTACCTTGGTAGGCCGTGGCATAAATACTCCAGGACTGTGTATATGGAGTCGTATCTAGATGCGTCGATAAGCCCAGAGGGGTGGCTGCCATGGGCTGGGAGTTTTGGGCTCTCCACCTTGTATTACGGCGAGTATGGGAATAGAGGCGCAGGATCAGATATATCAGGCCGGGTCAAATGGCCCGGGGTCCATTCGTCGCTTAATTATTTGGAGGCGTCGAGTTTCACCGTCGGTCAGTTTATCTCTGGTGATGCATGGCTACCGGGCACCGGTGTCCAGTATGATTCTGGGCTTTGATAATGAACACGCAATTTGCTTTTGCATTTTAATAAGGTTCGTGTTATTATATGGATGCCGACTATGTTTGTGCGTATGTATGGACCCATGGGCTGTGACATATATAAAATTGTTTTAATCCTTATGTGAGTTTCAGTAATAGAGAAAAATTAGCTCTGCCGTGAAGGTAGGACTCACCTCTATCATAACAGTAGAGATAATTATACTATTTTATAAGATTCATCAGGACTGGTAATTCAATTGTTCTCGTTTTAGCAGATAAATTTTTTGATTTTTTTTAAAAAAAATAAACTTTGACAATGAGGGATTGTATAGTGAACGTATTTCTATGATGACAACAATGCTAAGCCGCACACCTTTTACGTTTCTCTATAGATTGATTATTGAACATTGTAATTACTTTAAACCAAACTTTTTACTAACCCTCATTATTTTTAAATAGGTCCGTTTTCAAACTTCCTCTTAAACTCAAAGAATCATGCTCTCATGTTTTCAAGTAACTATCCAACCATGGCTTACTGCTAACCTAATGATTACATATATGTATATATGTGTATCTATATCGTACTCTCTTTAAAAGTATGAATTGGGGAAAATCTTTTCTAATATTACCCTTAACTTTTTTTTAATTGTTATCCTAATATATTCTAATTTTCCTATCTTCTTTGAATTTATAATTAAATGATTTATCATATCCATAATGAGACTTAACATGTTATTGGATAAAGGAGATACGTTTGATATAATTTAAATATTTTACTTATTTCAGTTTGCAGAGAAATCTAAAAAATATATGCAAGCCAGCACCTAAATGTTTTTGGACCTTGTAAAAATTATTCTCCAAGTTTTTTAAATTGCAAAAACACCCCTACAAATTCAAAATTTTATGAAAACATCTTAAAAATTATAAATTTTTCTTATTTCAATTCAGTGAGAAATCTAAAAAATATATGCTAGCTAAAAAATGAAAGTCTTTGACATTGGAGAAAGTATCTTGTAAGCTTTGAAAATACAAAAACACTCTTAAAATTTTAAAATTTGTAAAAAACACATTGAAAATTTCAAACCTATAAACACACTAAAAACCTAAAAATAATACAAACAATCCCCGAAATTTTATGGAATTTGCAATAAGCACTATAAACCTTTTACAAATTGCAAGATAAAACCCTCAAGATTATAAAATTTATAAAAATCCTGATAATATCCAACCTAACATTACATTGAAAATAAAGGAGATATAAATATCTCCTGCATAATTAATAATTTATAGAAAGCGCCCTTAAAGTTTCAAAAATTACCAACGAATACTCCAAATTCAAATTTTACAAAAAATACCCTGAGAATTTTAAACTCATTAATAAATTAAAAATATAGGAATTATAAATAGTTTATAAATAATTTACAATATGTAGAAAATTCTTATAAGTTTAGAAAATTATAAAAAAACCCCTAATATTCATAATTATAAAAAACACCATGATAAATTTCTAACCTATAGACACTAAAATGAATATACAAAATTACTAGCAACCCCTAGAAAATAAAAAAATTACAAACATATCATATTCTCTTTAAAAGTATAGGTTTAGAAAAAACTTTCATGGTTTATATTACCCATAACTTTTTTTAAAAAGAATATAACTAACTGAAAATCTATTAGATTTGAAATTTACAAAAAAAACTTAAAGTTTGGTACATTGCAAATTACCCCTCCAAAGTTTGAAAATTTTCAATAATTTTTTGTAGTTCTTTGATTTTAATTTAATTTTTAATAGTTTTGTGTATTTGTAAATTATAAAAGTTTAGGGTGTTTGTTTATACAATTTTTAAAACTTTTGAGGGTGCTTATTTTATAGTTTTCTAAATTTTCATTGTGTTTTTAATGTAATGCATAGATACATCAATTAATAATGATATTGAAGAGTAAGTCGTTCTTAAGATGTATTAGGCTATTGTTAAGTGTACACATCACTATTCCTAGGTAGTATAGTTTATACATGTAAAAATTTTCAAACAATCTATATAGTGGTTAAAAAGGTTTTGACTTTAATATACTATTTTTTATAAATTATATTTAATAAGAACCCACCATATAATTTTGACTATGGTAATTATAATTTTAATACGTTTAATCGATTGACTATATAGGTATATAGATCATATATTACTTTTTTTTCTCGCATGAACTAATATTTGGCACTTAAAACTTTAAATTATTATTTTAAATTTAATATAAAGATGAGCTTTAATAATATTTACTTATTTACCTACAGGATAATACAACTTTAATTCTTATTTTTACTTGACATTTATTTTATAGTTATACATATCAAATTAGTAACTAAAATAATAATTATTTATGCTTAAATTAGGATGATTGTAGTTTGTCACTCACTATGTATTTTTTATGAAGATATATACCTTACTTTCTATAGCTATCTGTATTGCCCATGTATATTTTATAAATTAGTTATTAATTTGACATATTAAATTATTTTTCCTTTGTAGAAATTTTTTCTTTGACTTTTGAATCATGTAATCACTATGTCACAATTCTAGCATAGAAAGGACATCATTCTAAATGGCTTCAAGCCAATATTTGAGTTGGACTGAAGTATACACTATTGCTATTATGTGTATATATTTTTTAAGAAAATTATGTCGATACTTTTTAAACAGAAAAGAATATTTTATCCTCTGATATTATAAAAATAAAATATAGCCAATTGAGTGACTAGCAAAAGAGGACTTACATCAGAAAAGTGTGAATAATAAGATAAAGGGGAAAGGTAATGAAAATTTTAAAAGTATTACCAATAGCAAACTATAATGTAAAGTTAACTTTTTTTGTGGAGCCCAACTACTTGCTATAAGTATCGAGGTTTTTATATATATACTTTCACAAGTAAAAAATGAGGCATCCTAGAAGGAAAATTCCGTCTAGAAAAATTAGAATTCCGTCGAGGATGAGTATTCTAGACGGAATTTCGTCTAGAATATGCATCTAGGAAGTTTCCGTCTAGTATGTAGTATTCTAGACAAAAATTCCATCTAGAATACATCCTAGACGGATTATTCTAGATGGAATTCAAAATCGTCTAGAATACATCCTAGACGGATTATCCTAAACAGAATTTCCATCTAGGATATTGATAATCATATTTTATTATAATTTTATACCCTTATTATCTAGTTTATATGAATAAATCTATCACTAATAATTATTTTTATCTTTAATTGCAGGTTAATCAAAAATAAAAGCTGAATATCTCTTCTCTCAACAAAGCCCACTAATTAAATGAAGAACTCAAGCATGAAAGCCCAAAAGAAGAAGAAATGCCAAAGAAGCCCAAGCCCAAAGCATAAAAGAAGAAGAAGCTGCAGGTTACAATTGTAGCACACTGGGCATCGATGCCAGCATCGATGGCGGTATCGATGCCAGCATCAATACCTCTATCGATGCTGGTATCGATGCCATCGTCATTTTGTTATGAATCTAAGGCTAAAATTCATGATATTTGGATAAGATTTCGATCCAAGGGCTCTCATTCACTGATGTTTACTATAAATAGGGGTAGAGAGTGAGGGGTTAGGGGTGTGAAAATTTTTATAACTCTATTTGGAAAGGAGAGCTACTCTTAATTAAGAAGGTCTTCCAAATTTATAACTTTTATTATAATTAATAAAATAAATTTTTTTACCACTTTAAATTTTTATTCTCTTTGTTGGATGATGAAGATGGAGATGAAGATTAATTTGGAGGTTTGTTTTCTCTTTTATTTCTCTTCTATTACTTATTAGTTTAGATTTATTTTCATATTTGTAGTTAGATTTTATTGTTTAAATAGCCAAGAGGCTAGAACCACTCTTGTCTTAGATTTATTTTATATTTATAGATTATATTTATTTCATGCTTATAGAATAGATTTATTTTCTTATCTTTAATTCTTGAAATTTATTTTATAGTTTAGATTTTGCAATTTATTTGTAATTAGATTTTAATTTCTTACACTATTCACCTTGAGGCTAGAACCCTCTTGGGTTTAGTTTTCCTTTTTGTTCATTTTTATTTTCTTTGATTCGCCTTTAGGCTAGAACCCTCTAGGGAATCACCATTTTCTAAGAACTGGATTCAATTCTAGATTACCCATATCTTTAATTGAATCCGCCATCTTTACTTTCTTGAATTTTATTGTCATTCTTGATTTTCCTTTTTGATTCTTGATTTTATTCATCTCTCCTTGTGAAAATCATTCATTCATTGTCACATCCACTCTCACTTACATTTTATGCTTATTTATACACCATTTTAATTCTCTCCACAATCATATTCACTCATCACTCCTAATTGTCATGTACACAACATAAGAACCGATTTATATTTTCTCCTACAAAACAACTTCCTCGTGGGATCGATAACTTTTTATACTATAACTTGACACGGTTGTGTACTTGCAACATTTTTGGTACATGTTTATACGCATCCAATTTTTGGCGCCGTTGCCGGGGAGGGTGCTTAAGTAGAATTTTATTTAATTTGGTTCTTTAACTTGTGTGTTTTTTGTGAAGGAACCGCTTGGAGCTTGAAGATCGCGGATTGGAGATCTAGAACCTAGAGAATTGCTTTTAGGTCTTCTTTCTAGCATTTTCAATTCTACCCTCTTTAGTTAGCTTCACAATTAGAGACAATTAGGATTTTAAAAAAAAAGGATTTTTTTGTTGACCATAATAAAATTCATCTTTCACTTGGACATTAACTAACAAGATAATAAACTTAAACAATGTTCACCCTTCTCATAGTTGTTTGATTGTTAATCCTAATAAAAAATATAAAGATTTTTTCCATCCTTTTTAGTCGCTTTTAATTTCTAGGGTTGCATTTCATATAATTAGTAGGAATTCACCAAAGTGATTTGAGCATCATTGATTTGGCACACACCTAAAAATATTTTTAAGGGTAAAACCCCATAATCAAGACAAGGTAAGGGATTTCATCACCCTTTCCTTAGCCCAAAAATCACTAATTCCTTACTACACCACCCAAGCCTAATAAAACTCATTAGACGTTGGCCCTTTAGGATTCGAGCTCAATAAGGAACAAAGAATCCTTAAGTGAACCG